TAGAGAATTTAAATGCCCAGCAGCCCAGATACCACCCTATTGTTGCAAAGAAAAATCAGTGAGTACTGTGAATTCATAAGAGAGAGTACTGGAAACTGTTTCTGAAGCAATCTGAAGTCTTGCTTAATGGCTTTAGATCGTGGGTGAGGAAATTAAGGACCTGTTTTCTCTTCTTAGCTTAGAACGCCAATTTCTTTCTTTGGCTAAGTCCTGGTTGGCTGGTCAGCCCAGAGGACTCGTGCCGTCTTCTTGGAGCAGCAAGGATTTTCTAGGTTAAGTCCTGGTGGCCTAGTATGCTAAGGACTAAGAAGTTTGAGGCACTCCTTTCTAGTTAATTTTCCATAATTGGGCTAATTTATTGTATTCTTGATTTGAATTTATTTTGTGAGATGATTATAGAATTTCTTATCCTATTAAAAATTGTATTTACTCTTCTATAATGAACAAAATTATGTTACTTGACAATAAAATTAAAAATATGATTTTGAAGAGTCACAATGTGTACCAAATAATCAACGATCAAATTAGGAAATGTCTGTTTTAAATACTCCATGTTCATGTTTAGAAACATTTCTAGTATCTGATTGTTGATTACCTTAGGAAGCACTAACATAGACACTAGAGTTGTACAAAACATGAAACGGACACACCGATACGCAATATTTTTTAAAAATGAGTACCAAAGCGACACGTCCTCGATACTCGGATTAAACTATTAACTTTTTATTTTTTTATTTTTATCCTATAAAGTAAATTTATTTTTGTTAATTTCAACGTGTCGGCAACGTCTCAGTGGCATGTCAACTTTACAAATCCAAAAAATAATTTGGACACGCCATGCCACCGACATTCCCGACACTTGTCGGTGACATGTCGGACACCGACTCACCTCGCCGGAGGGTGTTTGTGCATCCTAGTTGATTACTAGGTATCTATTATTTGATTTTATAAGATACTTTACAAACATATATTATATATATCACATAACACAAATCGCTGTGCTAATTGTTGATCAATCACAGATGATATGAAAGTGACTGTGCAGCTCTATGATGAAAGACCAATGTCTGCATCAGTTCCACAACGAGTGACTTGTACTGTAATGGAAGCAGCTGAGCCTATAAAGGGAATTGGAGCAACTCCTCAGTAAGTCTATCTATTTTTTAATCTTGGGCTATGTGCTTATGATTGAAATCCTCTACTTCTATATGGTTAACATAATACATAAAACTCTCAACGTTACCATTACTTTGTATTATCAGATGGTCTAAATATTGTGCCCTTGATTGTTTATTTTTGTGAAACATGCTACACAAATTTTGATGATTATTTGGCATTGCTCTTATCGTTCTTCACTTCTACAGTTATAAAAAGGTTTTGTTGGACAATGGTCTCACAATCCAGGTAATCTACTTTCCTAATGTAACTTTGTCATATAATTTCCCAGTACTATTGTCTGACTCATTATAGT